ATTGATTGATTAATTTTTTGGACCAAATTTATTTGTTAATAGTAAATATTAACGTAAGATTATCCGCATTTATAACGGATATTTTCCAATCCGTGTATTGACCACAAGGCAGCCGCCTAATGCTCTTCCCACCATGAATGTGCTTGCTCCACAAACAAGCTAATGCTTGCTCCACCATGGAGGGTAGATGATTGTTCTTCTTCAACACTGGCTGCTATATATATGTGCTGCAGTTGTTGAAGAAAGACACACAACACACAATACACAAGACTGAAATCGCTCAACAGATTTGGCTATACATTGCACTCCTTCCTCTCAGTATTTTCATACGATTTTCTGAGTTTCTACTCATTCGTTCTGCATTATTTTTTTAACTTCAAACAAAGCAATTATAAGTGTGATTTGCTACCGAACTTTGTGTTCGCTGAAACACTGGGGTTTGAAGTACCGCTACACCAGTGTGTGATTCGTTCTATCCTGGGAGAAAATAATCCATTACCTTGGGTACTAGGAGGGGATTAAATTCCTTAAGGAAACACTGTGAATTCAGTGGGCTCGAATTAATTACTGTTTCATTACGTTAACTTATATTTTGCAGAATTATTATTTACGAATCCAGCAATATTGGCGGGAATAACAAGAATAACAATCCCGGGATAACTAATCCCAGAATAATAAACGCAAATTTCGGACTGAATTCATCAAAAATTGGCTCGTCAAAAATATTTCTGAGCGTCAAGTCATGAGCTTGATGAGTTTATGAGCCATTTTCCGATGGTTCGTTCATCAAAAAATTGACATAAATGAATTGAAGAAAGAACTTAGGTCACATAATCAATGAATAAAAAAAGATTTTGAAAATTACAGAGGTATTTAGAGAAACAAATCTGACTGGTGAGAACTGAGACGGTGGAATTGACAGCAACCTATTATGCACCCACAGTTCAAACACTATTCTTCGTTTTATCTATTTATTCACTAATTATTTATGGACATAAATTGATTTATAACTTATTGTGAATTGTATATGGAATAAAACCTTTCATTGAATGCCTAATTAGCCATACAAATAATCATATAAAAACAAAATAAAGATATTTGACTACAATAAATAATTACATAACTCTCGGTGAAAGTGACATACGACAGATTTTTGATGGAGATGAGTTAGTAATATGAGCATTATGTTACTATTCCCTTTCATGAATGTTATGCGGTGCGAATTTAAATTTATCGTGTCGGGCCAATAAATTTTAAAATTATAAGTTCGAGTAAAATCAACGTGAATCTTGTTTTAATATCTGAATTAATATCTTGTTTTTCTTCTTCTTTCAAGGTAAAAATCATGGAAGAGTGGGGTTCAGTTCTCAATATATAAAAACAAAAATCTCATATGATGATATGCCTAAGCCTTGGTGGTATATATCTTCATTGGTGAGTGATAACAAGTGCCAACATTGATATAATAGAATAGCCGAGATGCACATAAATTAATCAAAATTTTACTATTTTTTAAAAAGAAATGTTAAACTAGCTCATCCTCCTCATCTATTTTATCTCCAATGAATCTCGTTCATATATTGACGTTGAATTATTTGGTATTATCTTCAAAGGCATATGCAGCGCATATCTTGGAAAGATTATTACTTTTATTAATAGGAAGACAAAGGTAATTCATTTCCCATTTTTCCACTTCTTTGCCACGATCTTTCCTCAAACTCCAATTGCGAATGCAACAAAAATAAAAAAAAATAAAATAAAAATCACTTGACAACCTAATTTAAAAGCACAATAATTACAATTTTTAAAGTTTTCAACTCCTACCTAATCCTCCTATCCCAAATTAGTGATTATGGAGGTGAATTTTTAATTAACTATACATGTTGACTTCGAAAGATGTAATGTTATTGGAGTCTATATGAATGTGTTTTTGAATATAGCTAGTTATATTTTCGTGTTTGTATATACGTATATAGTTTAAGTCGAAGATAATGGATTGAGGTTGCATTCAATGTTGCAAAACTGTAGCTGTCTCGGGATTGATATATCTAACTAGTTATGAGATTTATTTTTATTTTGCTTTTGGTAAAATGGCTGGATATATAATTGTACGTACACCTCAAATTTTGCACTATTAAAATCACTCACAAATTATTAATGGAAGGCAACTATTTTTGTAATGTTTTTGTTCTTCTTTTTTTCCTATTTCTTTTGGGAGAGGAATACAACGTTTATTGTTCATTGTTTTGTTGACAATAATCCATCACTATACCAAAGCAGTCTTTTACGGCTTTTAGGTCTTACTTTGAGGAAAGTGCAATCTTTAACAATAGATAATTTACCAAGAAAAAGTCCACATTAGAACACTTAGCTTTATTTATCTTAAATTGGTCATATCAACTCACTTTTATTTTAGTGAAAATATCTTGTTATGTTTCCTAAATAATTACATTTTGTGAGTTTTTTCCAAGAACCGATAAAATTCTGTTTTAGAAACTTGATCCGTATTGCGTATATTGAAGCAAAATGGCAAGGTGTTGAATACATTATCATGTTTTTTAGTAATATAATGTTCGGATTCACTAACTTATTAATTTTCATTAATACATGGAACGAGTATCTTCTCCCACTAAAATTTACGAAGAATAAGGTAGTAAAATATGTATATGTCAAGATGTTGTTGGCAATATATATTACCTAACTCTATATTTCATAAGCTCAAGGGCTAATTAACATCGACTGGTAACTTTTTTTTGTTGCCTCAATGATTACATATATATACATTTTCTTGGCTCGTAACAGGCATAAACCCCACATATAATGATCAATCTTTGGCGTTTTCTTCACTTATAACATTAGGTTAGAGAAAGAATTGTTAGTCCCGCCAATATTGTTATATTTGTAAATAATAATTCTGGTAAATATAAGTTATCGTAATGAAACAGTAATTAATTCGAGCTCACTGAATTCACCGTGTTTCCTTAAGGAATTTAATCCCCTCCTAGTACCCAAAGTTATGGATTATTTCCTCCCAGGATAGAACGAATCACAAAGTTGAGCGTTAGGTGTGTTTTTCTTCAACAGCTGAAGCACATATTTATAGCAGTCAGCTTTGCTATTGCAGCTGGTGGTCACAAATGCGGATAATCTTATGTTAATATTTACTATTACAAATCCGAAGCCGAAGCCGAGCCGAGCGACGAGGACGGCGCGAGGCTTGCTTTCTTCTTAACTCTTTAAGAGCTACAAGAAGAGCAATTATATATATACCCACCAAAATTTTTTTCCTCTTCCAATATGGGACAATGTCTCATTGTCAATAGGGGAAAACTTAAAATTTTACTCAAAAATTTCATTTTCCCTCCATTTCCCATTCACCCTCATTTTAAGACTATTTTATCTTAAATAACAAAAACCTCAACAATAATAAAGATTTGTCTAATTATAACTTTGAGTATAATCCATTAATTCAAAGTGATTAATTCAAATTCTATTCTACGCATCTATACCATCCGTTTGTAACTAACAGAACTTTAGGAGTGAAACACACTAAGAAACATAAGATCGGATAAAAACACTTATACGCACTTGATATTAGCAATAAGAAAATTAGCTTGGCATAAACACCGACTTGATATAGGTAATAAGTACTTTACAGAATATCTATCGATCTTGAACACAAAAATTTCCCCATTAGTTAATAATATAATAATAAGTAAATATTTTTCACAACCTTGAACCTAACTATAAGCTAGCACTCTCTTTGGTATCCTTTGTTGGTTTAATGTATAAACATATACAGCTATACATGATTTACTCAAATTAGACGATAAATAATATGTAAGTATCATTAGCCGCTTCAATATACATAAAAATTAAAAGGGATAAATAAATAAAAAGGCATGCATATATGGGGCCATGCAATATACATAAGATAAGTTAGACAACGTACAAAATCACTAAACAACATTTCATATACCTAATTAAACACACTATAATCAAAATGAAATACTCAAAAACATCACAGATATACTATCATTTTTCCTTTTTCTGTTCTTTAATTTCCATATCTTTTTTCTTCCTTTTAATTTCTTCTATTTCTTTTCTTCATATCCTAAGTAGAAAAATACTAAGTTCAGGACCTCCATTACCATCTGGATTCATCATATAAAAAGCTTCTGAGTCACGACTACCCACAACTCGTTCAAATTTAGCTCTCATATACAGCAACTCACCTTCCGCCGCACTAATTTTCCGGCCGTCGTCCACCACCGGAATCACTCCGGCACCGACGGACACGCTCTGCACGGTACCAAGCACGTGCCAATCCGAATCAGTACACGCGCGTGAAAGCGCGTGCCCACACTTCCTCCCGTTACAGTACATAGTCCACATGGGCTCCTGAAAAAGTTCCACGCGCCGCCGCCTTCCACCTCCCCGCGCCGCCGTTTGCGGAGGCACCACCATTTTCTCGCATTCTAACGCTATCCTCACGAGCCCAGATGACATCTCCTTCACTAAAGACGACGTGGAAATTGCGAGCTCGATTAAGAGTACCGGTTCTGATTTCGGATCGTCTTGAACGGCGAAGCTGACGTGTCCTCTCCGGTGACCAAATAGGGTTCCGGTGACTTTCCGGCCAAGAGACGGTGTAATGGAAAATTGGGTCGGGAGATTAAGCCACTTGCATGCAGGGAGTATAGTGGGAAATGAGATGATACTGATTAGTGACTTAATTAGAGCTGAAACTCCAATTCTTGTTTTGGTTATTCGATTAATATTTGTTGATGAGGTGGAGCTTCCATTTTTTGGAACAAGAGATTTATCTGAAAAACTCTCATTTGGATCATGGTTTATAGAAGTTGATCTTGGATAAGTGGAAGGAATGATTTTCTTGGAGTTTTTGCAGCTGCTTGTTCTTGAAAGAGCACCAAAAGGTGGTTGTTGTCTCATTGTATTAACCAAAAAAATGAGACAAAATTGAAATTCTATACACACTTGTAGGTATTGAAAAATAGATTTTGATGCAATTTTGAAGAACCAAGAATATAGTAGTAAGCTTCTTTTCTACTACAACTCCAAAATGATATCAAGTCTCAAGAAAACAAGAAATGTTTTTTTGAGGTATTTTGGCTACTAAAAAAGAGATTTTTGTGGGCATGTAGTTTAGCTAATGATCAAAAGCCAAGTTTTTAGTACAAAACAAGAAAGGGCAAAAAGCAAAAAAAAGGTGTCTTTAGGTTAAGTGGGGGTAGATTTTTTTTTTTGTTTTTTTTGGGGGGGGGGGGTTTTTTTT